CATTTTATTGTGCTTTCTTATTGCACCCTACTCCTCACATCCCAGTATGTAGCCTTTCTTGCACCTTCCCAGAGAACAGGCACTTTGGCTCCATGCAGCTGCCTGCTGCTGAAGCCCTTCTTCCAGAGATCAGTGAAGATGAAGTGTTCAGGGAGGAGGGTAGCTAGGGGCTGCCAGAAGCCTGATTCAGGACCCACCGTGCCCAGGCCCAAGTATCTGAGCAAGGCTCGGGGAGCCCCAGGGAGCTTTTTCCCCTGCCTGCCCTGGGCTGGGAGCACGAGTTGTGCTCTAGCACCAAGCAATGCTGAAGTCAGCCCCACGCCAGGCAGTCCATGCCTCTCCTGGGGGTGTCTGGCTAGATCCCCTGGGCATGATAGAGTTTCTCAGACTGAGCACTGCAGCTGAAGTGTCACTGCCCCTGCCAGCTGTCCTGGGCAGGGGAGGTGGAAAGAGCCATTTCCCAGCTCAAGCCATTAAAAAGGCATGAAAAATATGCCATATGATTAAGGCCTTGACAAGAGCAAGAAAAATAGTGGAATGCAAAGTCACTCTGGGTCATAAAGAGGGAGCAGGGAAGGACCTCGGTATGCCTCTTGTCCTCTGTAGGAAAACTAATTGATCAGTTGTGATTTCAGCCATCTAATGTGTACAGCAAGATCTGAGCTGCCCCTTTTGGGCTACTTCAGACTTGAGCAGCCAGAAGCGGCCAAGTAAGAGCACGCTCTGGTGTTAAGCAGGCACCACCCAGCTGGTGCCACTACCCAGCAAGGAGCTGAAGTTGGCTCGTTTTTCAGAGCTGAGCCCCCGGGCGGAGGCGCACTCGCACCCGAGGGCCGGGGGAGTGGCTGGTCCCCTCTGCCCGCGGTCGGTCCCCGACGGGGCTGATGCGGCTCCCCGCCCTCTGCTGAAGGTATAAATCCTTCCTTGGACGCACAAGGAACTGCTGGCCTCTCCGACGTCCTCATCTTAGCCATGATAGATTGAGAGCTGTTGCGCGCGTTTCTTCACGCTGTGAGACTGCCAGGGACATTTGACTTCCTGTGCTCGGGCTCCTTGAAATTCTCATTTGCTAACTCACACCCTTCTCCCTTCACACCGAGGCTGTTTTATTGTTTTATAACCCTCCTCAAACTTCCAGTCCTCAAAGATCTCATTGTGGCAGGCTTCACACTTTCTCCCTTTCCGAAGCCCTATGCCCTCACTGTTTGCAGCAGTTTGGTCACTTACAAAGATCCATCCGGTGCCCGGTGAACCCGCAGCCCCTGGCCCAGCTCTGCCGAGTCACGAGATGAACGACTCAAACTCATTTTTCAGGGGAGCCTGATCAAAATGCCATAAACATCCAAGGAAGAGAGAGGAGGTTCCATCTTTCAGTTGGTTGGGGGTGGGGTTTTTTGTTTGTTTTGTTTTCTCCTGATGTTGGGCTTCTCTGTCCCCTAAGAAGTATAAAGAAGTGTTTGAACGGGTATGCACAGTGAAACGCCCTCGGCTCCTTTCTCAATAACACTTCGGGAATGCTAACTCTTCGCAGCTTTCCCTACAACACGCTCCTCAATAAGGCCAGCATAACGCCGCTCAGCTGAGCTTCCACTCATCCCCGCTATTCCGACCCAGTCCCATTTTATAGGACAGATTCAGCGAACCTTTATTTAGCGAATAAAAGTTTAAAGCTGAAGGTTATTTATGGTTCCACAGAGATAGGTCCTGAGTGGCTATTTAGAAGCACGTGATTCCAATAAACTTTGTTTTATGGCTTGAGAGTTGACAAGCCAAAATATAATTCCCACCATAAATTAGTTTAAGAGCATACAAGTGCAGATGCTTTCGTTCCTGGAAGCAGTAATCGGGAAAGTGTTAGCAGGGAACCGTCGGCAGGAATGCGACCGTGTAGGCACCTCTGCTACCGGGTCCCCCAGGCCGCGGGGGGAGCGCACAGTAAGTCCGCTATCGGCCTCCCCGCCGCCTCCACCACCGCCGCGCTCGGGCTCTCTGTGCCCCGAGGAACTTCGTGGGAATGGGGTACCAGTCCGGCAACGCGGAACAGCTCTGTTGGGGAAATGGGCAGGTAGAGCTCAGGTTCCTGGGGGTGAGCCGGGATGAGTCGGCTGGTCCCCGTCTGACATTTCTGAATTTGATGGGATTTCTTATTTGCAGCTAGCTAATATTTTTTTTTAATTAAAATTTAAAAATTAAAAAAAAAAATGCTTAGTGCCAGTTAGTCCACTCTCCTCCCAGGCTCTGTATATTATCCAGAGTGGGCAGAACTAAAAAAACCAAACAAAAAAATCCAATCAAAAACGGTCTTGGGAAGCTCTATTTAGTGAACTATTGATACCTAGGCAATTGCCCTGTGTTTAGAACAATAACTCTCCAAGATATTGTAGGAAAGTAATAGAGGAGGTGAAAAATAGCTTAGAGAATTCCCCATTAGTATTTGCTTTTCAATATACTAAGCTTTTCAGGAGCATTAGAGTAAGCACATGTTTTGTTTTCCTTACTGAGATCTTTGAATATATTTATTAAAATACTTGAAGGAAAGTTCAAGTTAAATCTATCCTTCTATAGTGCAAACAAAGATGTATGCCTCGTGATTACTGATAAGTTAATTACGTGATCTTAAAAGAGATCTATCTTAGAGTAATCGGATATTTGTTCTAATAAAACTATAGTTCTTTCTGTGCTCTACGTGGATATGATGTTGCATGGTGTATTGTGACATTTCGTGGGTAATGGTTTAGCAAAGGTGATCTGAATATTTAATTTCTAAGTGACCGGATTGCCACAGAACAAAAAAAAAAAAAAAAAAAAAAAAAAAAAAAAAAAAAAAAAA